ATCTGGCTCTTCCCTTTACTGGAAGGAGCTGAACGAAAGGCACCACGTGCTTAATCCTGCTCCCGTATTAATTTATTTCTGGGTTTTGCTCCCAAGACAAACCAAATGGCTGGGTTGGCACAAAGCACATTGCTTGCATTCCCACAACTCATGGATCGGGTCAGCGAAAAGCCGCATTGCGCTCTGCTGGGTGACTCTTAACCGTGGTTGGAGTCTTTGGGGATTAGTGTGAGGTGTGAACCCAGCTTTTATGGTCGTAGTTCATTGTATTGTGCAAACCCAGAAAGGGATTAATTTAGTAATCAGAGGAGCACGTTGTATGAACGCAGCCGTACACCACAGAAGAAAGCTTCCACAACATTGTCATAGTTTTCTATTAGATTTTAGATTTTATATCCTGTCTTTCATCCAAGCAGGCCGCCTGGAGATCCCCCTCCACTTTATCCCCATGAGAGCAAACCTGCATCTGGATCTCCCTAATCCTAGTCCGAGCCTTAAACCCTCTTACTTAAAATATAGAATGCAACAGCCAAAATTGCACTGATCATTTCTCGGCGGCTGTTTAGACCTGAAATCTCACGATTTTGCAATGGGAGGTTGAGAGACACATTTTTAAAAAGATCTAATTGACTCTTGCTGATAAGCTGGTCCGCAGGACTGTTGGGTGGAGGGTCAAAAAAGTCAAGATGGTGGCCGAGCCGTGCCATCGAAGTCCTGCTACCTTTTCACCTGCGTTGTGACTTTCTGTGCACCGCCACGGGCAGCCCCCATCTTGACGTTTTGGATGTGCACACACAAACATCTGCCTACACATCTGCTTGTAAGAAAACAAGCTTGGAGCTTAGGCAATGTAACTTGATCCCTTTTCTTGAGGTTTCTGCACTCAGATGCATCTTAGAAATCAAACTCTGCTCTTTCATAAGAGAGGGGAGTTTGTGAGGGGCACAGAAGCCCATCCCCGCAGCATCGCTGGGCAGAAATCCTTAATGCCCTTCCCCTCTGGTACATTAGGGCAACGCTGGAAGGGTGAGGCAATAAGAAAACGTCACCGCTTTTTTTTTAAAAAAATGCATTTTATTAAAGAAGTTTTTTACATGGTAAAAACTATACGAATTGAAAGAAAAATGAAAGGAGAGTACCAGAAAAGTGATCAGTAAATAGAAAAGCAAAGGAAAAAGACAACGAAGGAAAGAAAAAGAAAAAAGATAGAAAGAAGCGGCTTCCGGTCTTCTTTACAGCAGTTATAACTGCATTTATATTTTATCCGCTCTCTCTAAGGCAGTGTTGCTCAACCTTGGGAACTTTAAGATGTTGTGGACTTCAACTCCCAGAATTCCCCAGCATGCTGGGAATTCTGGGAGTTGAAGTCCACAACATCTTAAAGTTCCCAAGGTTGAGCAACACTGCTCTAAGGTGACAACATAATTTCCTTCTTTCCATATTCTACCCTTTCTAATCATCCAACTCATCAATCACAAGTTCTTTTTTTTTTCATTTTCAGCAAAAAGTCCATAAGTGGTGAGAAAGTCACCACTTTTGACTGAGGTTTTGTGGCTGTGCGTTTAGCCATTGCCAGACGCACGCGCACACCTTCCCCCCACCCCGAGCTTTCCAGGCTGTGCCACAGGGAACCTGGAGTCCCAGCCCTTGCTCCCCCTTCTGCGTGCAGCCAGAGCGCTGGAGCCCTGCCTGTTCTGGGATCTGCTTCCGAGTTTGGTGCTGGGCCTCCTCATTCCCAGAGATAAAAAGAGATTCCTGGAAGGAGAGATTTTCCAGAGCACGGCCCTGCCCTGCCCTTGGCAGACAGAATTTCCACGCCTTTCTCGGTGCAAACGTGCCCCTTCGGATGTGCTAAGGCACCTTCCATTTCCGGCCAAACCAGAGTGTCATCTCGAGGGTCGCCATGCAAAGAGGAGTGGGGAGAGAGCCCAGTGGGGTGGATGCTCTGGAGTGTTAAGGGTCGAATGGTGCTTTGAACGTCGTCAAGGCTTAAGGGATCCTGTTTGCCCCTGCCAGCACCCAACCCGCTTTAAAAAATGCAAAAGGAGGGTGCCACGCCTGGGCCCAGCCACCCTGGGGAACTCTGGTGCCACAAAAGGCTGCCCCCCCCGCCCCTGATGGGGCTGAAGAACAGCTTAGCAAAAAGAGAGAAACAATGATTGCTGCCAATTTCACACTTCTGCTTTTGCTAAAGTCAGCATCGTGCCAAGGGAGGTTGGATCAGAGTTGCCCTGTTTTGAGATACCTTGCTGCAAAGCTGCTTTGTCGCACCCAAAGTCTCCCTTCACCCAGGCGGCCGAAACGGCTCTTCGGTGCACCTCCGTCGCGGCTGCCACGCGCAGCGCCCTCCGTGCGGGATGGGCATCCGTGGCTGTGGCGGGCACCTTTTCTCCACGGATGAGAAATTTCACAGGCTTTTGCTCTTTTCCTCCTCTGCCAAGTTATCTGCCATCGGCAAGCAGGCTGTGCTCCCTGAATTTATACAGCTAGCATATCAGGGAGAAGGCTCGGTGGAGACCTCTCCTGAGAAGCTACTTCTCTTAGGGCAGGGATCTGGAAGAGTGTCAGACTTCAGCGGCATGGGACAAGGTAGCCTGGTGAGAATGAGGGCACGTGAGCCTCCAAATCCTACGTTTCTACTCTCTGTCGTTGCTATCTATTGGGGGGCGTGAGTTCCAATCCTGTTGAAACTGTCATGTGTTAAGTGGAATGTGATTGGATATTACCTTCCCAAATTTTAGTTACAGTAGTGCAGTATATTTATTGTAAACCTTTATTTACTCCAGTGTTTCTCAAGTTTGGCAACTTGAAGATGGGTGGACTTCAACTCCCAGAATTCCCCAGCCAGCAAGGCTGGCT